GTGCTGACATTGCAGATGTAGATGAAATGTTCCGTATGGTGAATCTCACTCGTCATATCCCGACTTTGCCACATATGCCTATTGCTGCCGAAATGCAGCGCCTTAGCAATCAGTTATTCCAAGTGAGTTGTGCATTTTTGCAAGATCATGGACGATATCGGTTTTTTAAGAACTGCTTTGTTTAGCCAGTGGCAAATGGTGCAAGTTTCCTACCAGCTCTTCAACATACTCTACGTATGTGCTGGGCAAGGAAATAGCGAATATTGCAGCCTCGGAGTTCAAGCTCTGCCAGACAGACAACTGCAGCAACAGCGAGCCCTAACAGCGAGCCTAACACAGTATTTGGTTTCCTTCTTTTTTACGGTAAGACTTGTCAAAAGTCATCCTTTTTTCAGCCAGTCCCACAAATTGTGCGGCCTCTACGCGTGATACCAATATATCCACCGTCAGATTCTCAGGTATAACTAAGTGGGGCTTGGTTTTGTGGATATTCTTGTAATGAAGTAATTCCAGGTTGTTTCCCCTGATGAGCTTGAACCTTTCGAAGAATTGACCGAGGATGACTCGAGCGACGCTGGTGCTTTCGCTGATGAAGTAGACGCTTACTCAAGATGACGATGATGAAGAACACCGGTGAGATTCGTTTTAAAAAATTGCCGGTGTGCTTAAAACGTGTGGTATTGCATATTCATTTTCAAATTCAGATCAGAAATGAACATGGTAACAAACAGCGATGCCGTGCGGTCACGACCTCCCGGTACTCGCCGCAGTGGTACTGATGCGCAGATTGATTCTGATAGCGAGTTCGAATTTGCCCCGTCTGCCTGTGATGATAGTGAAGTACGGTTGTAATTATACTGCTTTTGCAATCAGTTACAGTGCATTCAAACTTCACGATCCAATCGATCAAGCGTTTGCGTCGCGAGCTCACGTGCGTAGCCGCTTCATCCCATAATGCTGCTCCACGACAACGGCACCATTTAACTTGGGCCGTGTTCAGACTATGCTTTGAATTCTGCCGTTACGGCGGTTCATGCGGTAGAGCGGCCGCAGTCGTGATGTCGCGCTCCAATTGCTCGAGCGATCTAATTGCACCATCTAAACGATTGGTTCGCGAAGTCTGAATGCGCCCCTACGCCGCACTTATACGCTTTTCTCGAACCTATTCATTAGGCTGTAATCAAAGGCTGAGGGCACGATAAATTCCCTAGGCGTGTAAGATGAACACGCCGATCACTAAAGAATTCCGCGACAGTGTTGAAGACTTAATGATGTTTCTTCCAACGGAGAGCGGTCTCTAAGCATCCTAGCAAGCTTTAACACACCAATCCGAACCCCCTCCAACAACCTGACCGCACCAATTAGCAATTGATCATCGAATCAGCTGTTTTCGAAGTCAATGTGCGGCTGAATAGCGCTTTTTACTTCTTTAGAGTTCTGAAGAGGTGAGAATAATCTGTTTTTCAGCAGAATGCAAGCTTTTCTTGCAGGTAGTGTCCGTACTGGACTTTTAGACTGGTTTTACTTTTTTTAGCTCTTTGGTCTCTGCTTCTGTTAAGAAACCCTGTAGATATTGTCGTGAAGTTTTTTACTTCGCGGAATAATGTGTTCCATATTTCCTGTGTAATCGCCGTCATTTGTTTCACATTGATATTTGACCAGCGATAATTGATCTCAGGCGTGGACTCGTACACTTCCTGACTGGAGCGTTAATAGGTCTTTATTTTAGGCGTTATAGGCCGTTTCGTCGTTCGTTCGCCGTTTACCTTACTGTAGTAGTACTACCCTCTGCTCCCGTTTTATGCAGAAAAGCAAAGTATCGTGCCCAATGCCTTTAAGCAGACGCACGTGTTCAGCTTTGAATTATTTGTGCCCAAATTTCTGGGTAATCTAGTTGTCATTGCTACTTGTAGGAATCCTCGGAACCTGGGCAAAGTGAGTCAGGAGAGTCACGGATGGAGAGCGGCAATCTTACACCTTTCGAACGCCACTTATCGAAAAAGGATGTCTGGAAAGGTAGCAAATTTATACTTTTCGAAGACTTCATACCTGAATATTTTGCGGCGGAGATTTTCAGCCATATTCGGGCCAGAAACATATTTGTGTCACTATAAAAATGACGAATAACCTGAATCGGGGAACCGCATACTCCATAATCCCACTTGATTTATTGCGAACAGCCTTCATCAGAATCGCGGGGCATCTCAAGTGCGGTACCTAAGGATATGCGGCCCATTTTCGTCATTTTGCTGCGCTTCTAGTAGATATAAACAGTGAATAGTTGTCTGTAACTTTATAACACAGTTTTCCAGCGCTTCGATCTGCTCTCACGTCAGAAGAACTAGAGACGTTCAACAATGTTCTGAAACGTGAACCTAGCAGAGATGTGGACGAAATCGAGGATAGTCCACCAGCAGGAATGTCAGGCAGAGAGCGAGAGCGACCAAAAACTGAAGAAGGACAAGAATCGCAGAGCTGGTTAAGCCTCATTTATGACGTGCCTCCTCTATCTACCTTTTTGATGGGCAGCTATTGGAATGACAAGCGCTTTCTCAGACAGAGGTAATTTATATTGCAGGCAAATTCTATCACGTCATTGCATATCTTATTGAAAAACGAGTAAAACGAACACTGATTTCGTTTCTTGAAATATCGTGAGGCGGTTTTCATAAACATGAATCCGGAGATGTCGTTCCAGAAGGGGAAATCTTTTCAAAATAGCCCCCGCACTTTATAGGGACACGTGCATGAAAATAAGAAAAACAAGGGCCTTTTTCCCGACGGTTTTACGATGTATGTGCCATGCAAGCGCCAGCGTAGTATGCAGAGAACAGGTCTGAAACTGTGCCTCAACTCAAGAATAGCAAACAGGGTACAGCATCGTTGTGCGAAACCCATAGGGGGTCGTACTTGGCCGCTGGGGAGGGGGGGTCGTAATCTCAAGGGTCACTCAGAGCCGGGCAATGCTTCGACATTTCAGTTGATAGTGGGAGTGGAGCTATGGAAGTCAAGATGTAAAAAAAATGAAAATTATTATGAGTGTATTCTTTACAGATTTAACTGCTACGTTTAACAGCCCTCTTTTCATGGGAAATCCCCAAGAATGGGTTCGTACTTGGCCGCGGGGGACGTGGGGAGTATCGCAAAAGTAGGCTCGCTAGGCATCAAACAGTACAAAAGTGTCATTGCTAAGTTTGATGGAACGGACGGAAAGCTGCAGAAGACCCGGATGTAAATAGGACTACAAAATAATAAAAATTTTAGCAATATAGCAAGAATAAATAAATAAATAAATAAATAAATAAATAAATATCAGTTAATAGCATGAACTCGTAAGTACGTAGATGACTAAATAATACGTCTCAAACAGATTCGTGCGTATTGTCCTTTCCAAACCCTAAACAAACATCTGCTTGCATGGATAAAAGCACCTGAAATCAGAATTTACACCTTTCCACCACCTCTGCGTAGGAGCGTAATGCACGGCGCACACTCGGACCAAATCGATCAGTGATAGCCGAGCTCCTCTTTCACTCATTTGAAGGAAATGTGTTTTGAAGGCACACTGAAGTTTCCGAAGGTGTATCCTCACAATGGCACAGGAGTCGATTTTTCGGGTGGGTCAGAGGGTAGCGCGTCTGTGACCCATCTAAAATATCTCCTGAACTAGCGGGTCTTCAGGAAAACTGTAAAGCTTATTGGAAAGAGAAAAGATAGGGCGGTTTCAAGACGATTTTAATCCTGATGAAATTGCGTTCGAAATAAGTAATCCTCGTGTGAAGCATAAAAACCCGCTTGCCATTTACCCCTAGCCGATCCGAAACCCATCCGAAATATTTCACGAACGGGGAAACATTCAGATTGCAACTGGGTAGAAAACGCAACAGTAGGAACATTCCCGTTGCATGCTGCTAACCATTCATCAAAAGCCGCGCCCCTCAAAGAGATATAACCCCCCCCCCCCGAAAAGACCCCAGGACGTTGGCAGGCCCAACAACCGCGCTCCAATGACGTTTTTCCAATGAAAGCGGTCGCAACGTTGCGATCGATAATAGCCAAGTATAGAACGATATACTGCCGCCTGGTTATCCATTTTTTTCATTTGGCTCCGCATTTTTTTGTATTTTTCATGTTTCGCTTTGTTGTGTCGTGCATGTTTTCATGATTTCCCCGTCACCATTCATTGAATGCACATCTGGGGCCTGGGGCTATTTTTTCACCAATTTAGCTTATCAATGATCACCATTAGTCGCTGTTTCGATTGTGTTCCTTGTTACAAGTTGCATGTCATACATGGTTGTCGAACGACGAGTTTTATTTTGAATCCTAAGACAAAATTGTAGGTAATGCGAGGCTGTTGTTCAGCCTCATATTGCATGAGGCTGAAACAGCCTCTTATTGCCTGGATTTTAGAGCAGAGTCCGCCTTTCGAAAATCCAGATTCCATTTCAGGAAGCCATTTGTGAACATGCATCTGGTTGTCAGTTAGAGCAGGAGGGGGGGGGGTCGTAACTGGACCCTCTTCGAGGGGGGGGAGGTCGTACTCACACCGCCATTTCGCGCCTGCCAGAAACTGTTAAGGGGATGCAGGTCTCATTCGAAAAGCCTTCAATTTTTCTATGAACTTGTTTTTTAGTTTCTCTAGTTTTCTTTGGTCGTTCTCCATCGTAATTTATTTATTCTCTTTCATGGGTTTCTAATAGGTTGGAAGAAAAGGGTCTTTAATCAAGTTGCATGGATTCAGGAAATTGCATCGCGAGATGAGCATGACCAGTGGTACGGAGTCGCTTTTGGAGAAAGCTGACATTGCTCTGGCAATGATTCGTGATATTGGTGCCGTTCCAGCTAAAGGGAGACAATATTCCAGTCCCGGTTGGTGAACTGTTGTGCCACCATTACGTGTTACACATTATGGGAACAGTGCAACAGTTCACGGTGACGAACTATGCTTTAAGATTGTTCTCTACGACGAACATTAGCTCAGCTTGACTTGCCCAATATGCCTTGTAGTGAATGTGAAAGCTCAACCAGTGACGATCCAGGAAATGCAGAACAGCATCGTCAGGTAGGTATAGTTCATTTTTGCTGTGCAAGATATTAATGATTAGTCGCTTACTCGGTGGCTTGGCGCATTAGACTTAATGTCGTTCCCTTCCGTATTCTTTGGTATGTTACGGTAACATTCGCTATTTTGCCCCGAAATTATAGTTTGCGGAACTTGTACTGTCCCGCATAAACTGAATTGTCAAGTCAACCAAATTGAGCGTTTTCGAAAGCCTCTCTTTTTTTAGATTAGCATTTTGAAACGGGATAGAAAACCAAACCGCACAGTCTTGTTTGTTAGGTGTACGTCCGAGATGCTATTTCTCCTAGAAATGCTTATAACGGTTCATGCAATTCAAACATTTCAATTTCGGCCTCACAAAAGGAGGACATCACAAACGCTTGGTTTCCGTCTAAGGGCACGTGCGACGCGGAAAGTAAGCTACTACTCTGAATCACCCTCCCCCCCTCTACTTTTAGAGAAAAAAATGTATAAAGAATTAAGACATTAAGTCAATATACAAAATCGTATGAACATTGCATTACTCACATGACATTGAACTAATGCCCTATTGAGTCTAACTGAGAGCTTGCTGAATTGCATTATTCGTGGAGACAATCGCTCCCCAAGAATGCCCCGGTGCAATGCACATTTACATGGTACAAATTCCAAATTCCTAATCGCTTGAATCGACTTCAAGCTGCTCTGAGAATCACCTTTCCTTGTTCATAGATACCTCACGTTTTAAGCTTATGCTGTAATTTGAGAGTCTGGTTAAAGTGCAAAAAGTTGTTGTTAAAAAATCATGTTTGTGTCGACCCGATGCTCCATTTCAGTGTAAGAGAAATCAACATAAATCAGGGAACAGTAAAGAGGGAATAATACTGTGTTATAGAGCGGAAAATTAGCTATCGAATGGCATAGAATACACTGGAAACGCTCTTCACTTTCCATAGAAAATTTGTGTAAGAAAGAAAATTATGGGTCAACCCAAGAGCTTACTTGATGCAGGTTGCCTTTCTCCGTAGCTCAAGAGAATTATGTATCAGGGCTTTGCAATAGCTTTTGTCAATGGAATTGTTTTATTATATTCCCTCCAGGACGCCCTTCTCGTCGCATCTCGTCGTCTCGAATCCGAATCAGATCTTGTCGATGTAACTTCCGGCGGTGAGCAGCCATCAACGGAGTCACCCGATCAGATGCAGGATGGTACTTCAGCTTTACCAGCGACGTCTTCACAGGCCAGGTGAGTGAAAAGTGCACAATGGTGGCTCAATGACGTTGTATTCACAGGTACAGTTCGCGAGTGCTCGAAAGGTGGAGTTCTTTCCACCCAGGAGCTGGTTAGTGCGCATCCGCAGAAGTTGCGCCACTTTCGCGGCTCAAAATTGTTAATTGTAAGCAGGCCAGCATGTTGTGAACGAAGGCCCCTACTCACTGCCGGGCACTTCGCCCATTCGTTCGCTCCCCACGAAAAGCTAACATGTTGAACAAATATAGCATAAAATTGACGTAATTAACGGAAAGCGACCCAGAAACCAGCTGGAATGCACCGAGTCGGCTGACGTAGAACGGAAATTTCGTACAGAAAGGGGCTTTGTCTAAGGCCTCCCCAAGATCTTTTGCTCTTCTTTTTCAACTCCACACCCCGCGTTGATTTGACAATCAAACGTCTTCTTTGGACGTGCTAGTCCCGCCTGCAGAGATGGAATGCACCTTCAGCAGCCCAATACGTGAGTAAAGCGCGCTGGGGTTTTTCGTGGATTTTGTTTTCGCATGTTTCTCTACTGGGGAGTTCTTATGGCTACTGGTTCATGACCGTGTACCTATTACCCGTAACACATCGCCAAAATTGTCTTTAAATAAGCCATTGCTTTTGTTCGGATGTGACTGGGGGAGTCGATGTCCAACCATAATGATTCGCCTGGTGCTAGAAAACTACGTGTTTCCGGGGTGGCAATCAGTGGCTGGTTTTGCCAAGGCATTCGGAAATTCGATCAGAAGTGGTAGAAAGTAGCCTAGGGGACTACAATGTTTCAAGGCATCGAAGCGCTTCTAGTTTAAACATCAGAAAACTGTTCCGCGCTAATGTATTAGGTTGTCCCAAAAGTTCGTGGAACTTTCGAACATTTTTTCGAGTTAAGTTTATTCCAGTGGGAAGCAATTTTGATCAACTATATATATGTCACCTTCATTGGCAACTTGTTGCCAATCACTACGCAATGTGTGGTTGCCCTGCTTCCAGAAGCCTCTTGGTTCTGTGCCCAGAAAGGCAGCTGGGTCATACTATCAAAAATCGTATTTTTTTACCAAGAAGATGGCCGCTGTGGGATTAGTTTAGATGGCGATCGGAAAGAGCTAAGTCAGGGCTACACGAAGACTGTGGTGGAATTCCCCAGCTAAGCTTCGGGATCTCGAGCAGTGTCGTTTTCCAAATGTGTGACCCTGAGCTGTGGTGGAGTAGGCAAACATTGCTCGGTTTTGGGACCAAATGTTAGCGATTTTCAACCCCCCTTGCAGTTGATTACAATAGGGTTCGTAGGTTACCACAGCGCTGAGAAGAAGAAATTCCGTTATGGGAAGGGAGAAAGAAACCCCACCACATACACAGTCTCACCGCCCTACTGGATTGATAGGATTGCGCGATCGGTTCTGCCCTTTCTGGGGGATCTAGCCGCTGGCGCTCCCGGGAGTGATTCACCTAGAGGCACCCACTCCATATCCAGTTACAGTGCTGTTCAACCAGTCCGTACAGCGGAAGCGGGAGAAAAGTAGACAGTACCCACATGTGCTCCCCTTGGAGTACTGGTCAACTCATGAGAAAAATTTTGACCGAACTTCAGAACTTTTCTAAGGGAGCGAGGCCCTCTCTCATTTGTGCTTTGGGACCAGTCAAGTGTAAGGACTAGATAGCAAGTTGATTTGTACGTATTGGTTTTAATCAAGGAACACAGTAGGTCCAAATCCAAGGCAGGTGGCCTTCTTGGGCAACTGGACCATTCCAAAGCCGTACTGTGGAAGGTAACATCAAGATCTAAATAAGGGAAATGCCGCTTATGGCTCCAACCACGTTGTGGATTCATATAGCGAAGTGTGTCGAAAATGATGAATTTCAATTACCGTTTTTCATATGAGAACAGCGACTGCGAGGGACGGTGAAGAAGCTGTGGAATGCTTACCTAACACACTTCCCATAGACCACATAACTGGATCTCGAAATGGCTGCGGAAAGGTCTGATACGAGATTCAGGAAATGTCCACGAACTTTTGAGCCTAATACTTTAACAGATCAAAGGCGTTGGCGTTAGAATTCCTAGAAAGTTCTCAATAGCAGTTGAGTGACTGATTCACTTCTTTGCAGTGATGGTGAATCATCCGAAGACGATGATGTGTCAGAACAGTCGGGTCGTCCAGACGAGGTCGAATTTCTCGCGAATGATACTGAACCACGCGCATAATGTATTCGTTCTCTTGCGCTTTACAAGGTGTACTCTCAACATGAGCCGGATACTGTTGCCGAGAGCTCTTTTGTGGGTGTCAGTTATAACACGGTTCTATACCCTTTGTGAAAAGTTGCAAATTATACCCTTTGTGAAAAGTTGCAAATATGTTCTAGTCTTGGATACTGTTTCTTTTTTTTCATGCGACCCATTTAACCGATGCACTGTATCGTATTGTAAGTCTGCCACTTGGTTTCGGTTTATGACACCTTTTGCGTTGCTCAAAGTTTTAGTGAACTTGTGCTTATCATTTACTGCTTGGATATTATTTTTTCGAGTGCGCATTTTCACCCCTGGATAAATCTATTATTGAAACCTGTCATGAATTTTTTCACAATGCATTAGTAAGGGCGTATTCAATTGGTATTTTTTTGGCTTTTCGTTGTAGGAGTTTGGAGTAGGTTCAGCTAGTGTGAGGGGTCATTAGGTTATTAGTGCGGATTCTAGTTTTACCTATGATCCTGTGTTCTGGAATACATAAGAGTTTATCGAATCCCTGGGCAACCAGGGTATTTAGCTCATGCACCAGGAGGCCTCGTGAGCTTTACAGCAATTTCACGACCAGCATGTCACCATGCTCAAAGGAGATCATCACTGCCGTGGACATCGGGGTTGATTGGTTGGGCAGGATCAGCTTGTCCACACTCTTCAACCCCTCAAGAAATGTGCGTCAACTGGAATGGGAAGACATGGGAGTAAAGATGAGCAGCTAGCAACTAGCCCTCTCCCTTTGCTGACGATATCGTACTGATAACGAGCAAGCGGAATGAATGCTGGCTGATTTCAACTGCGCGTGTGGAAAAATCGGTCTACGGCTGAATCTAACGAAGACGATGTTCATGAGAAACGGATTGGTTTCTGATGCCCCATTCACGCTCAACGGAACGACCATCTCTGAATGCTCTAGCTATTTGTACCTGAGTCAATATAGGGACCAACTTAGCACTAGAGTTGACCAGAAGGAAGCGAGTTGCTTGGGAAGCTTCCAGGAACGTCGAGAGAGTAGCGAAGAGGATGAAGATCACCAGGCTCCATGCTACTTCTTCGATTACGCGTCCTTCTTGCTTTGACTGCCGCCTCGGAAACGGATCTACGAGAGCATGATGAACATGTGGTCAGGTTCAGGACGTCATGGGAAGAGCGTTGCTCGAAGTTCCACACACAAGTGGAGAGTTAATCCGGAAACGATCGAATATCAGAGACACTACCGCATTTGCGAAGGTTTCGAAGATCAGGTGAGCGGGACACCTCGTGCGTCGAGGATATGACCACCGGACCAGAGCGATTCTACGGGTTGTCAAATGAAGACCTAGACGAACGCCCACGCAATAGTCACAGTAGTCATACTTCTTCGGGGAAGCTCTGAACAATGGTATGATGTTCATCATATCCCTCACGCACGAGCAACCCACTGGGCAAAGTTGTTTGCAGCTCAATCTGACGAAAGCGATGTTCATGAAGAACGGACTGATGCCTGATGTTCCGTTCTCGCTAGGCCTTTGTTCCACGCAACTAAGTCGCGTAGAACAAAGGCTTCTTTTGCAGGTTTTTTTTGACCGTTTCACCCTGCTTTGCCGTCATTTCTGCCACAATAGAGCACCCCTGCTACCATTTCAGACGTATGAAATTATCGTGCCTTACGCTTTTGATAAACTAAACTCGGTTTTTGGAAAGGCTTCTCAGGCTTGAGCTTGACGAGGTTTTCGTGTTCTGCCCAAAATGATTGACAGAGTCATCGAAATGTGCGCGACTTTGATTTCAGTTTTTCCGCTACTGTAGATTGACCCCTGCTAATAATTGTTTAGTCGGGTCGCAATGACAATGCCACGACCATTCTGGATAGAGGCGGAATGTGTGGCGCATACCAGTAAGGGGTTCATCAGTGTTGAAAGGTTTACCCTTTCATCATTTTAACGACTATGATAGAGGGTGTGTATGAAGGAATATGGCAAGGATGCTTTTGTTTAGTTTGCTTTGTTAACGAATTGTTTATGCTTGCTTTTTTTAATAGTTCGATATCATAAATTTTTTTTCATGAATCCATGTAAAATCACAGAGAGATGTTTCCTCTATAGAAAGTTGAAGGACACAACAATTCACTTCCCCTTGTTCTCGCCGCTTTGGCATATAATCGCTCTGTACTTGACGAAGCGGTTTTCCGCAAGTGATTATGGGACTTATTCCTGTAACGCGTTTCATACGTGATTATGGGAGCTTATGGCGATTACTTGTACCTGCTTTATGCCTAAGTCCAATGCCCGCGTACACCACTACGATTTGCATAAGGTGCGGACTGATTTTGGAGGAGGCAAGGACGGGTTGCAAAAATTCCTTATTCTGGAAACGTATTCAGAAGACCTCGGTGGAGTGTGACGCGTGTGCTCAAAGAACTGAAGATCAGATTTTTCGTTACTGTGAGCTAGCGTTAGCATGAAAGAGGCGAATTAAAGACTGACTAGTCGGGCTGCTGAAAGAGAAATGGAGCATCATGCGCTTCGGGAGGGCCCCTCTCCTCTCCATCTGAGTGAGTCACGTCATATTTGCTCATCTGCACTCTCTCACGGAGGAAATGCAAGATGTTATAACTTCGTTCAATCATCCTGAGAATGTGAAGTTTCCCGTTTGCACCCCTGGATACCGTGACGCGGTTTTATTATTCGGGTTTAACATAACGCAATTCTCGCTGTAGGCTCTTGCAAGAGACAGAGTGCCAAAGACGGTTCCCTGTGCCCGCCATGCCAAAGACGGTTCCCTGTGCCCGGCAAAGGACAATACGGTCTTATGGTGTTCTCATAGAACCTAACGATCCCCAGAACGTAACAATCTCCTTTTTTAGACTTTTAAGTGTCCTCAGGTATCACTGATTAGTATCCATTCAGGATGATTTCCATAAGAGGGGAGAGAGATGGAGGGCTTTTCATCGATCTACAAAACCGTCGAGATTGCTACAAAATATGGGCCCACCTCCCAGGTTAGTTTTCTCTATTGTACAAGAAGCGGGGGGCGAAGAGGCACTGGGTCCACGGGTGAGATAGCAGCAAGAAAGACCAGAGAAGACAAAGGTGCAGCCCTTCAACGACACGCTGGTACGCTCACCTCAGAGGACGGTCCTTGCCGTCAGCTGCCAGAAGCCTGTCACTTTCTCCTCTCAAGAAATGGACGGGTTGGGGCTGTAGGCAGTGGTGCCTCTTCATCCTTTGCCCACTTCATCCTCAAGAGACACACTTGCGCAGATACCAAGGTCCCACAGCGAAACATTATACAGCGGTAGACAACAACAGTAGTGGAGGGTGGGGGGCGCGTTTGGTCTGTGGTCAGGCGTGTGGCTGGCCGGGGCGACAGCGCAGAATCGGAGTATGGAGTCGGCATGCGAAATCTCTATTCTCCAGCCTCGTTCCAGAACACTCTAGACCAGATGAAATGACATGCTCGGGATCCGACCTACCCACACATGATAGGGACCAGGTAACTCTACAAATTGTCTCTGATGGTATGGCAGCTGTCCTACACAAGTATGAGCGCAACGCCTAAGGTTACCGCTGCTGATGGGTAACGTTTCCAGAGCTAGCGACGGCCTCAACAACTTCGTCACTCCCTTACTGACGTGAAAGTGGTAGAACCTGTGAGATTGCGGAGAGGGCTACGGGATTTTGATTTGTGTCAGGTTTGTGTTCCCGTCAGCAAAGGTCGCTTGACAAGGTCGATTTCTAACCTGGGTTAATTAAGTATTGTGCCATCGTAAAGTTATACTTTGTCTGAGCAGTTCGGCGACGGGGGCTGGGGGGGGCATTTTGCACTTTTGCTACTTCCCATCGATGTTCGACCCTGTAGACAGCCTCTGCTTCAGTTGACATGCTTTACTATGATGGGTTGACGAGCTTGCTCCAGCTTCACAAGAGTTCACAGGTTTCACCAGAGTGAGACTTGTAAACCGGAACTAGTGAAGCAACGAAAGTGCAAAATGCCCCCTCCCGTCGCCGAACTGCGCCCCTTTTTGAACTCCCGATCAACTCTCTCTCAGAACTGAACTGCCACACTGGTCATGGGAAACATTTATCAGCGAAAATATCTCAGTTTACGAAACCACTCGGCCGATGCCCATGTACGATTCTCTACTCCACGCTTTCATGCTATCTGAAAATATCTGTAGAAAAGCGAATTCATTTTGGGAAACGATAAACGTCACTGTCAGACGAGAAGCTCACTTTGACTGGCCTCCTGCGAGCACGCTGCGTTTTGAGCTTGTATTCATTCAGTAATTCACTGCAATTCTGCAACGAAAAAACTATAGACGGCACATCCACTCTCCTCTAAGAACCACTGAGAGTGACACGAACTATGAGGTCTTCTTCTGTCATTTCACTGACGTAGCCTGGATAGCCGACCCAACTTATCTTGTATAGGGTTTTGCCGTCTTTAACTGAGTGTGAAAGGATGTCTTCAACTTCGTATTCTTCCGATTCTTCTGAAATGCTTTAGTATTGAAAGGATGTCAGTTCGGAGGTCGATGCTGGGATCATTTCGTAACTTGCGACTCCGGCAAACCAGAGAATCGCCGAATTGGAGAATTTACGAAGTTTAGATACGTATCGACTGATCTTCTATTCTCCCATTCGCCGGGGAGACGGTAAAGAGGATCGTAAAATGCCGCTTCGCCGCGCGCGGGGATGGGCGCGGCGTTTTCTTAACTCGTGTTAACCTGTCGATTGGAGCACCGGACTTCATGTAGACCCCGTCATCGTGTACA